TAAGGCCACGTTAGACTTCCTTATCAGAACTCTGACTGAGGTAGTATGCTTTGAACATGCGTTTCCCCAAGGGAGACCATCCAGATGTTTTTAATGAAAAGATGGTTCTGAAAGGATGACATGCTGTGGCTGGACAAGAGTGCTAACTAGCTCTAGAACATGTGTATTTGGTACAAGTCACCTTCCCATATAAGTTTGTGATTGGGAAAATCCAGGAAACCTTTTTTGTTTTTTACTAGCAGAATCCTGTGGTGAATTCTCTTTTGAAGGGGATTAGATAAACTCACATTTAAAAGCACTGGTATGGCAGGAAGTTCTTTCCCAATCACAATCTGACTAAAACTGGAGCATTCTTTCCCTCACAAATTGTAGATTATGGAGGAATGGTGAAGGGAGGGAAAAGAAGGAAGAGGGCCAAAACCAAAAATCTTTTGATATAAAGTTTTGGGCTGCTGTTGCACTGCTGTGTGTCTAACCAGCATCACATTCTGATCAAACAGGCTCAGGGTATACAAACTTGATGCATCCCTCTCTAGTTATATCCCCCTCTAATTGACCCCTGGATAATTGTGGAGGAAGGGAAAAACACATACTTGTCTCCCAAAACTGGATTTCAGGAACCATTTATTGTTGGCATTGTGGCGGGCCAGTAGGGGGTGCTCTTGTGCTGAGCCACCCGCCTCACTGCGCTCCACCAAAAACTAAGCTTTGAATGCCTCCCCTGGGGCCCCTACGTATGGCCCACCCCCTTCCGGGAGCACACCCGCAAGCCTGGGGTACACTGCCACCACCTGGACTCAGGTCTTTGTCTGGGCCGTGTCACCTGGGATACACAGACATTGTAGACCTAGGGGTTGCCTAACCCCAGCAGGATATAACTGGGTGCTTCTTATAGCCTGAAGCATAGAAAGTAGTCTCCCTTAGTCAGCCGAGTAAAGGGAGCAAGAAGGCCTGCCCAATCCCCCTCAAGCATGTACAAGGCTGGCTATAACGGATAGCTTTATTGGGCAGAGAGGGCAGGCACAGGTACAAGTCAGAGAAATAACCCTGAGCAAACCAAAGTGGCATGGTAGCCTTTTGATATGCTTCTAAAACAGTCAATCCTACATTACTGGCTAGGTTTTAGGTAGGTTACTTACAAGATCATCCAGAGACTGATTGAGCCTGCTCTGGAGCCACCTGGCTTGCTGGCTGTGTCCCTAAAACATGTCTGCCTATCTTTTTCCTGGAGGGAAACTCTTTATAACCTGTCTAATCTCACCACCTGAACCCACCCACAATCAGCTATCTTCAGACCACGGCTAATGCTGGTTGGTCAGTTTAAAAAACATCAGCACCCTCAGGCGAGAGCTTGGGGTTACACAGGAAAGAGGGCAAGCAAGCTCCCCTCCTCCTCCTTCAGGAATTTTTCCACACAGTCATGTAGGCTCAGTAGTAAATGAGACCGGGGGTGGGGGAGCGAGGCTGTCTGTTTGCAGCAGTGAGGAAGACAGGGAGTTATTTCTCAACAGGCATAATTGAAATAACCAGAGTTAAAAAAAACACAGCTAAATTTGCTTTTCATACCAATGAAGATAGTAACAAAGTTTGAGCTTTACTTATAAAGTTTCCCTGAATAGATAAATGACGATCTCTTGCCAGTGGAGTCATATTTTGAAAACTACCCCATTGATGCACCATGTATAATAAAACTAAAGTGAATGTCCCTCAAATACTATTTTATATCACTCTTACCTAATCCTGGGATATAACTTTGGCCAGGTATAGACTTTCAGTTTCTACTGGGAGAATAGCTGTTCTCCTGCTAGAAACTCAAAAGGTACAGATGTGTTCAGGCTTTTGTTTCCAGAGTAAAATTGATGCTCCAGGAGAAAAATAACCCAGCAACAACCAGAGTTAAATTACTCCCAGGAAAATTTCTCCTGGAAGACTGAATGTTTATATACTTTCCCCAGGTTTAACGTCTCTTGCAGACTAGGAATAGTGGAGCCAGGGGAAAAGTTTGCTTCCTTCCAAAAACTGGGGTCAGGCTGGTCTTGAGAAGCCAATGATGGGCAGCTGCTTACCCTCCCATAAACTGAGAGGTGAGAGAATCTGCAGCTACTGCTCCTTGCCTTTTCCCCAAATCAGACAGTTCATGGTTTTGGGAAGAGGCAAGGGGCTTTGCTGGCTCCTGCCAGCTTTCCCATGCTGTCCCCGCTGCCCAACTGAGTGACAGTTTTAAAGCTGGTGCCTGGAAGTGGAGATCCAGGAAAGTCTCCCTAACCCAGCTCCCAGCTGCTCCCCCTTGCTGCCCAGCTGAGTGGTGGGGTGGCCAGGAACAGTGGGGAACTGAGAGCTGGGCTGGGGAAAGCCTCCATTCACCTGTCTCCTAGCTCCTCTGGCTTTTAAGTCATCACCTCCACTGCTCAGCTGAGTGACAGAGGAACAAGAGGAAACTGCAGGGGCTGGAACCGGGCATGTCGAGGGCTTTCTCCAACCCCACTTCTGGTCTCTCCAGCTTCCCCTTCCTATCTATGCCACCTAGCAGACCGGGAGCAGTGTAGGGCAAGGCAGGCAGGTGGGCCACAGTGGCAAGGCTAAAGAACCTTGCCACCATAGCAAAATGCCCCCTCCTTGCCCTGTACTGCTCTGAGTAAACCTAGAGCAGCAAGGGGCAAAACAGACTGCCATGCCCCTGCTGCAAGGCTCCCAGAACCTTGCTGCACTGGCTGAGTGCTCCCCTGCTCTCCCTGGATTCCTTCAGGTAAGCCTGGAGGAGTGCAAGGAGCAGAGTTATTCTCTTTTGGGAAGAACCATTAGGATTCCCACCACTAGAGAATGCCCTCTTTTCCTACAAATCAGCTGACTGGTGGGACTACGGGGAGGGGGGGCACTCTCCTGGGGCAGGAACCCTCCTTGGTTGTCTGCAGCAGCTGTTGCTTTTTTGCAGTTGTCAACTGCCACTTGAGGGAAGAAGGTAGGGTGCAAATTAATGGGCTCCCCCAAAGGTGAGAGTGGCCAAGGGGGCAGCCCTCTAGTGCCCCCTGCCTGGGACAGTTTGCCTGTATCATGGGGTTGGAAGAATATCTGTACAAGTCAGCTCCTGGGTTCTTTGTCTACTGGAAGGAATTTCTTCTGGTAGAAATGAACATCTGTATGCAGCCTTAGGCTATTCTTCATTGATGACCTTTTAAAGAATGACTACGTATATTAATCTATTTCTTAACGTAACCAATAACTGTTACATTTGTGCTCTGTGATACAGACACAAAAGAAAGGAAGTTCAGAATTACCTATGTGTCCCACTAAAGTCATATCCCTGATTTTAAATTAATAGTTTAATACATTTAAAGAATTAAACTTCCACTGCCTGGTCCTTATCCACTTCAAATCCAATAACCTGTAATATGCCCTAGAAATTACGAAGAGTATGAAAAAAAATGACAAATTATTATGGAAAGTGGGAGACTTACATTAACTATCTTTCAAGAGTATAATATACTCTAATATATAAATACACGAAGTTAATTTACATTATGAATGGATGCCTTGAAAGCTGGACATTTTAGTGTTCACAAAGTATTTTAATCTTTAAACAACTGTCCTAGATGAAATATTTCTCCCCATACTATCAATGAAGAAATTCTATATCAATGAAAAATAGACATTTGAACAAAAAATATACATATAAAAATTTAACCAGTTATTTATATGAAAAAATATCCAAGGTACAAAGCTCACAAAAATCTAGTTAATAATGGAAAAGCCAAAGGATCCTTAATAATAGCAGTGCTTTAGGTATTGGGTGTTGTACCTACACCTTAGCATTTTCTCAATTTACTCTTGGCATCAAGAGTCAGCCTCTACCAAGCTGCATTTTCTTGGAGATTTTCTTATATACATTCTTTTTACTTTTATGAATTCAAGAGAGATAGTGGCACCTTATTAGGAAAATTTTTACGTAACAATCTCATCACAAGATAGTTCTTTAGAATACAATATAAACTTTGTTTTTTTTAAAGTGACTATTCAGAACATCAGCTCATTCTATTATTAGAAAAACACCTAGCACATTTTGGATGCTACTGCAATCTAAACACTAATTTATGATGTCAAACTCCAAAGGCATGGATAAAACTTATACGATATCTTTCAAAATTGATACAAATATTTGTATAGATTGTGAGAGCTGCATTTGGATATGGCTATATGTAACCTTAAAAGAATTGTTAGTACTGTATATAAAAAATGGAAACAGTTTCTGTAAGTACAATGCACTCCTGATTGGCAGAAAGCCAATTCAAGGCAAACAGCATCACTCAAGGCCTATCCAAGGCCTGTGCAGAGGGTCCTAAGTTGCTTTTGGCATGTAATGGAAAAATCGTGCACAGCAGAGTCATTTAAATTACTGTGGGAAGGCCACTTTAAGTTAGAATGGCCAGGCCCAGTAACATTTTATAACTGGTGTGGGGAGGTCAAAGGCACTAGAGGACTTCCAGCCAGGGGCAGGGGTGGTGGGCAAAACCTTGTAGCAATTCCCTTTTTTTATCCTAGATTAAGGGAGGAGAGGCGGGTAAAGTGGGGTGTGGGACAAATTATTTCTCCTTGCTTCAACTCCACCTGCATAAAGCCAAAACACTCTGGCTTTAAACAAGTGGAGAGAATTTAGCCCTGTAAACATGATTTTCCAGAATTGTAAAATCCAGAATAAGAATCAGAAGCAAAATTTGACTGATAAGATCTACTGTGTAACATTCTACTGATCATTCTTTCATTAATGGACAAACTTGAAAGTGGACTATTTATCTCAGCTATGGACAACTGTTTTTAGATTTTTGCTAGTTTATTAACAAAGAGATGACTTAATGCTAAAATAATTAAAATTAATTGGAGGCCAAATGCTTCTTTTTGTCATGTAATTTCTCTTTACTGATGGAGATGCAAGCCAGTATGAGATTTACTTCAAGTGAGTATCTTATAAATCACTGTAATCAGTTCCCTATTAAAACAAGAGAAAATTTGATTTGTAATTCGACTTTATTAGAATCTGAACATTTAGAAATATTTGACAATATGGCAGTAACTGGCAGCAACATTTTACAATATATATGGATTTAAGCTTACAAGTAACTTGAGAAGACAAGGACATGTTGTAGTACCCATTGTCCTTTCACACTTCTCATACAATAAAACCCATCTAATACTATCCTGCGGAGTTTCCCTCTGACATTTTAGCTCAGTTCTCAAGCAAGTGCATTTTTCCTAAACTTTATTACCTAATATTTGTCCACTAGCAGGGAAAAATGGAGAGGTAAGTGGAAGGGAAGAAGGGAAGCACAAGAACTGAACAAATGGGAAATACATTTAAGAGCGTGGATAACTGACAGTAAAATATATGTTCTTTGGTTAGCAAGCAGGAAAAAACTGAAAGTACTTGCATACATGATAGATACACACTAGCATTCTAAAGCAGGAGACAAGAATGTCAAGAGTGTATTCTTCCCCCACTGCCAGATGGAAGGGCTATTATTATAAATGAAAGGCAGCAGTAGTGGATGCCAGGCACTTTTGTTGTGTGCCAGATTCTGAAGTCCAGATGTAAGCAGGTTACCCCTGGGAGAGGACAGGCTTCAGCTCCCGCAGTAGAACAGAACCAATCACAGTTTTCTCAGTGTTTATGATGAGCTGTGCTGTAGAGCTTTCCTTCAGCTCCACTGTGACTAGCATCAATGACCCACTGTGCACAGTTTTAGCTGCAAACCTGGAAGAAGAAAAATCATTGAAGACCTTCATATTAAGCCAAAAGCTGCTAACGCATTGTTTCAATAGTTGAATGAGACTGAAAATTAGAAAACTTTTTCAGTTTAATTATTCCAGTAGAGGGGAGAAACCCTAACATCCCCTTGCAGACTCCTCAAAGATTTTTCTGTCACATGGTACAAATATAAGAGCATGAAATTTAATATAAGAATTGTGTGCTTAGCATTAAGGACAACAATCTCTTTGAAAGAATTTTTTATAATCTGATTTTAGGTATTAACACAATATAACTAACACAACTAATACCCAATTATATTATACCCAAATGTACAACTAATACCCAGTTGTATTTAAAACTATATGAAAATCTTGTACCAAAACTAGTAAAACATATGCTGAAAATATTATGCATTTTCAAACAGAAAAAAAATGCAGTCTTTTGGAGATGTTTCATCTTCATGGCAGGGGATGAATTATTTCAACATAAAAGCATTCAAATTACCTATCATAACAATATGAAACAATGTAATACAATAAGCAAGTAAACTTTCTGAAAAACCAAATCTTTTCTCCTTTAGTGAATTTATCTGTAGAACATTAAATACACTTTCCTAGTGACTGAATACTGTAAAAAGAACACAAACGAGGTCTAATGCTCCATTACTAAATTCCAAGACATGAAGAACCTGCTAATTACACGGAATTAAAAGCAAAACTAGCCTTTTAAGCACTGCAATTGACTGAAAAGCCATTTTAGGCACAATGAACTTCTGTCAATCCTGTTAATTCATTCTGCATGCACAGTCAGGCCCCAGAGACAGGAAGGAAGAGGATGGCAACAGCCTAGTCTTCCATATTCCACAAGGAGTGCACCACACTTTTTTTTTTTTTGGTTACTTGAGAACAACAAAGTTGCTGCACATGGGCTTTTGAAAACACTAACAAGTGTAGAGCAGGTCTGTGACCCACTGTGACCCCACTTTGCAGGGCCAATCCCCTCTCCCCTTTCTGAATGACACGTGTCTGAATCAGAGCCATCTGCCTCAATTTGCGCAACATCTTCAGCCACAATAGGACCCAGTTAGCCCTGACAACAGCTCACAATACACAAAAATAAAACTGCTGTGCTGACAGCACGCTGTCGGCTATTCAAGAGCAAACCAACTGGTCAGTGTCTCATGTCTGACAATTAGCATGGGCCTTGCAAAGCGCCTACTGGGATCCTTAGGGATTTGTTTAATTACCATCAACATAAAAGAGGGAGTTTATCAGGAGATACTCAAAAAACTTCACTTCAGACTTAATTAAAATATTAGCCACTTAAGCAGGAAGCAGATTCTCTTTAAATGAGAAGTAATTTCTTCTTTTTTATTTTTTAAGCATATCAAAACCTCATAATACATTACACTAATTTAGAAAGTATGGGACATCACAGGTTTCTATTTCTTTTTGTCACATCACAGCTTTCTATTTCTTTTTGTCCAGATTACAGATTATTTTAAGACCTTTCCCACTAACAGGGAAATTTTGCTTCTACTGAAACTATAATATTACTACTATAAAAATGAGCTATTAGGCTACTTCTGTTTCTCATTTTAGTTATTTGCTCCACAGTGTAAAGATCTGTATTTCTCATGTTGATTTGACAGGGTGATAATTATGTAAACAATAGTCTTATTAGTCTCTTTATTTACTTAACGGTTGTGTCTTGGGACAACAGAGAAGCAGATTATGTCTGAATGTGTACATAAAAAGCTCTGTAATCGGCACTCCTGCAGTGTTTCATAGCCCCAAGGCTTGTTTACTCCCTTTCTTTTATTAAAAATTGAAAGTGATATAAAGTCAATGTTATGATAAAGCAAATGCAGCCAAAAGCCTCAGAGGTCAGTTCTGGTCAGATTTTTACATGTGCCATTTAAAAAACTGGATTTTTTTCCTAAACTAAAACACTTTCCAAACCTCTGAATGAAAAATTCTTGAATACAAATCTAAGTCTATATAGATGTTGCAGGATTTAAAGATGAGCTAATATGACCATGTTACATAAACTGCTAGTATGTATACAGTTACAATATTTAATCAAATGTCTATTTTAAGGGATACTGATTTGGAAACACTTTTTGAAGCAAAGGACTAGTGTAAAATGTAATTACTTATTTCACTATTAAAAAAAGATCTATTTAAACTGTGAAACAACATGTTTACTTACTGATTTTGAACCATGGAAAGCAAAATGGTTTCCCTAAAATGGACAAGATCATTTCATTGCCAAATTAATTATACTATAAAACATATCTTCAAAAGATATAGTTTCTGCAGATAAACTCAGTTCCGAAATGATGAAGCAGCTGACTTTTGTTTACAAGATTAATGATCAGTAAAACCATGCATGTCAATGAATCGGATATTTTCAAGTGGTGATTGTTTTAGTTTTGGATAACAATAAATATTTATTTTTCTTAAGACTAAAGAGATACAACTTTACCAGATGCTAATACTTAAAATAACATGACCACTAGGTTTTTAACAAAATCTGTCTCTAGTTCAACTACATTTTTAAATAAGAAAGCAATTCAATATCCTTCAGTAGTGAAAATAAATCATTTATTTACAGTAGATGTTTGCTTTTTACAAGCTGCTGTGGATCTACCTTTTGTCTTATAGTGTCGCTATTTACCCCCCCCCCCTTTTTTTTTAAACTATTTTACACAAATATAAAAACAGGAAACTTTTCTGTTGACTATGAAATCAGACTTTGCAGTATAACTCAAAAATACTTCCTGAAAACTTAGCTGTGCCACAGTATAGTTTAACTTGTAAATGTTAGTTGTTTGTAGATGTAAGAAGGTATGCTGTCCTTTGGTGGGACTTCACTAGACATGGAATATTAACAGCTATTTGAACAGACCTGCTGTGATAAAGTAGGAGACCAACAAACCAGGAAAAAATTTAAAAATAAATGAGAATGAAAGCAAGTACATTTCAATAATTCACCCTCTACAAGAGTTTCAACATCGTTGTTTCTGTGATCAAGAAAATAATTTTGTGTTTTCTGTCTGCTAAGCAGTATATTTAACTGTCATGAAAAAAGTGATTTAAATTTTTTTCCTATATGTTTTATAATTAAACAAATAACCAACTTGAAAGCAAAATTCCTCCTGGTGGAATATTTCTCTCTATCGCTGAGACATAAAATTAGTGAGCAATGTCTAGCATCACTTGCATATTCTGGGCTACAGATAATTTTATTTTTTTTTAAGAAAGAGCACCAAATCATAAGAATGGGAAAAAAGCAATTCACACGTGTTCAAAAGAAATAAGTAGTCTTTGCTAGAGGTTAAGAAACGAGTACAGTCTACAACTTTGAGACATTATCAGTTTCATTATATTATGTATTTCAGTAAGTTTTTATTCTTTAAAATATATATGTAAAACAGTGACCACTGTGTCATGTACTTATTTTAAGTGAAATCAGCCTCTGTCAGCACCTCCTACACAATAACATGACTTATAGGAATCTGCTATTTTAGTACAAGGGAAAGCTAGAATTTCAGATATTGCAGAAGCTGACTGTTTTGGTGACCACTGTACACTAACTGTACCTGTGCAAAAAAAGATGGCCAAAACTTATAGTCTAAGTACTTTTTTCTGAAAGGTTCCAATATGTTTAGCTATTGGATACACTATAATAAAATAGTAATTTGGTCTAGAGCCTGTTCTAAAAATTCAACATTTGAAAAAAGCAAATTTATTACAGAATATGTTTTGTATAAGATTTTAATGCTTAATTCAACAGGCCTAAGAAATTATTTCTTTTCTCTCTGCTGGTCTTCCTGGTCTCTGATTTTCCTATTTTAAGTTCAATTTTCTTCTCTCTTCTGTTCTAGTCATTAACAGAAGCAGTGACAATGGCCCACTCAGGCTAAAACTTTTTTTTCCCTACCCTGTACATGAAGCTTTCAATTACTGCCTGCTGAAGCAGACAGAATCCTATTAGTAAGAAAGACGATCACAAGATGCAATGCCCTGCCCTAGCTGTACAAAAATAATTAGTCCAAAGTTGACAAATGTGTAATGAAGTTACACAATGAATGTACGTAAGAAATATTGGTGTAAATTAGTTGATTTCCAAACACTGAATGACAAACTACAAAATGTATTCTAATATAAATAAAATATTGTCATTTCAATACTATAGAACCTTGTTTTACCTTGATTAATATTGCATTTACACACAAAATTAAGTTTATGTTTGGCAATTTATCTCAAAATTATTGGTTACTTACGCTGTTTAGTTGCCACAGATGCTACAGAACATGAACACATACATATTGGTGACAGCCTTACTATGTATATGGTTCTGATACTGGGACAAGTCTAATGTTAAAGACTTAAAACAGTGATAGAAAAAAGGAAACAATTTTGATTTTTAAAACTTGCCATTTCAGTCTGGCAGAAAAGGGTTTTTTTCTATCGATTATAGGCAGCCAAGAAAATTAAAGACCATGAACTACAGAAATGGTTTCTAGTTATTGTGAAATCACCTCTTATCTGCTTAAAGTGGTTCATTCAATTTTGAAAGACAACAGAAAAAGAAAACACCATAATATTTTTCAAAATGCTCATTTTATCATCACACTATACTTGTTTTAAACTTATTAAACATTTGTGGGTTTAATGAAAAAATTAGAGATGAAATCTATACATATTTGTACTGTAGCATTTTTAGTTCCTTTTCTTTGCATTCTGATTTTCTGCCAAAAGAAAGTTCTGCCATTCTGCTCTGTTGTTACTTGTGACAAAGATCAGAGTGCAAATGAGTCCTTTCACTTATTACTGAAGAACTGCTCCATCTCTCAGTCAGTGACTGTTCACACGAAATTTTATATCCCTGCATTAGCTCAGCAACCTATCCAGCGCCTAAGGGCTGGGAATCCAAATCTGTTTCTCAAGACTTGGATTAAGTAAAAACTCTTAACACACTGTAACCATATCCAATCA